AGTAATGATTTCCAATTTCTCTTTCCAGACAACACCCTGCTTTCCTGCAAGATCTGGAAGTAAGACTTGTCAAAACTCTAAACAACAACAACAAAAAAACAGACAGGCATCCAAATGAGTGCTGTTTTCCTTAGTCTTGACTCTGAGAAGTCACTGACATGCCAGGGTTTCGTGGCCAAAAATAACATTGGAGGCTGTCTTTGAGCTCCACTTTCATGATCTAATTCAGATGCATGAAATGCACCCTCCAAAGTGCACTGGCCACTACTGAAGGCCTCGGCCTGAAATGTCAACACAGCGGCTAGTGTATTTCCATGAGGGGATTCCTTTCTGCCCATAACAGATTAACTCTCACCTTTGAAGAAAGCAGCCTCCACCTGTGGAGATGCCTTCAGATTCTCCTTCTCCAATGGTTTCTTTTCATCAGTACCAATGCACACCCACCCTCCCTCTTTATCTGAATATGTTACATACCTTGCTTGTCTTCCCATCCCTGAAACGGCTTTCCATCTTTCTATCCTGTGGTGCACCCTTTAACTTCTAAAATCACTACAGAATCCACATGGATCTTAGGGTCCCTGGGTAGGGACGACAAGACTGGCAGTGTGGGGAGGACAGAACCAAGATGAGAGATGCTGAGAACAAAGAACCCAGCTGTGCAGGCAGTCCAGGTAAGTCGATGGTCAGTGGGAGCACAAGGTGAGAACTCAGAGGGAACAGGACCAGCTTGGAAAGGAAAGTAACTCCCCTCTGATGAAGACCTGGCAGGGGTTATCCATAAACACCCAAATGGGACCTGACCCCCACTACCTACTCTGCTCACCCATCCAAGTAAACCCATTCCTCAGCCTGTTCTTCCTGTCTCCAAGCTTTGTAAATTCATATATAATTTCCCCTATCCACTGCGGACACATTCCCGAAACTGAAGAGTACCAAACACTATATACAATGTTTTATACCATACATACACACTTTTAATAAAGTTTAATTTATAAATTAGGTGCAACGAGAGATTCTCAATAACTAATAATGATGGGAAAATTTCAACAATATACTACAGAAGAAGCTACGTGATTGTGCTCTCTCATAAAGTCAAGACAAATATCATTGTTTTCAGACTCCAGTTGGCCATGGTTGCTGAAACCAAATCCCCGGATGGGAAAGGGACTCTATTGTTTGTGCTTCTCTTCACCTGGAATTATCTGCGCCACCCCCACATCTCTCTCAGAAATCTGTGTTCTTCCTTTGGAATGGAAGATAAAACCCCACTTCCTCTTGGACACCTACAACTGATGAGTCCCCTCTCACCAGGGCCCACTGCATGTCTACCCTAATATTCAAGGTGTGCAGCTGCCAAAGCACCCTTCCCTGTGGTGGCTAGCTCTCACTGCAAGGACTGGGTACTTCCTCTCAAACCTCCACTGCCAAAATTGACAGTCTACCCACAATATTTTTTTTTGACAAAACTACTTTTTTGTCACTTACTAGTTTTTTATTTATTCATTGGGAATTTCATACAATGTATTCTGACCACTTTTAAATAAACTAAGAATAACAGTTCAATAAAGGACTCATACAGTAGGCACATCTAACATGCAGCCCAGAAAATGAGTGGGGATCTTCCCCTGCAGCCCCAGCTCTCTGGCCTCCTGAGCCAAGACATGGCAAAGGGTATGGTGTTCCCTATAAATGAGCGTCTCTTCACCATGGATTTGAGAAGCCTTCCCACAGGCCAGAGCAGGGGGAGCTTTTTCTGACCAAGATTCACCTTAACAGCTACCCTGACAGGTTAGCATGCTGTCACCAATGTCCTCTGCAGATGTACAAAGTGATTGAAGGGCATTAAGTGATTTTTCCAAGAAAAGGAATTAGGAGGAGGCAGCCCAGCTGTCTGGACATCAAACTCTTTACAGCATGTTCTGCCACAGGACACCCACAGTGTGGCTCTGGAGATGGACGGCTGCCTCCACTAAGATGTCTGCTATTATCCACCAATGCAGGACAGTTCAACAGTCCCCTATGTAACTAGCAGTAGGCATGGTAGAAGCTTGCAAATAGTAAGTTTGATTGAAAGAAATTGGCTTCTATCCTACAGAACTTCTCATGGCCTTTATTTAATAGTTCTTAAGGGACTGTCCAAGAAGGAGGGGTACAGACAGTCTTCCCTAGCTAGGTGTGTGGACTATTTTCAGGGCTGTCACGTGGGACTCCACAGAACACAGTTTGGGAATGCCTTCCTGAACACTGCTATCATTAATTAAAATTGGACATAATTAACCAGATCTGAGTCTCACTAATAAAAAATTACATACAGAAATGGCTGGCTTCCTTTGATTTAATCACACTAATTATGTTGGACTCAACCTAGCAGCAGTTCCCTGCACTATTTTCTTACACATTTTTCATCTTTTTTTTAAAAGGTGCTGATGAATTTTGTTCCCTTTTTTGTTAAAATTTTGCAAATGCATATAATGCATTTTGATCATACTTAGACCTTCTCCCCTATCTGCACCCCTTACTACCCCACACCAATTTCATGTACTCTATTATACATAATATATAATTATATAATATATAGAACCACTGAATTTATGTATCTTACTATTCACATTCTATTGAATAAGAGCCAATATGCATAATTAAAAATGAGGAACAGAATTTACTTATTCCAGAAAGAAGTAGAAAAGACCCCCAACTTTTCCTGCAAATGGAACATATTCATAAAGTCATTCCACTAGATCCCAGCTCCCCGTGGGTATTAGTATTATGAAGTTACAAAATGTTTCCTTTGCAGTGAAAAAATAAATAAAGCCAAGCCTTTTCTTTTCTTTGTGGCTCCCCTAGCAGAGATTCATTCTGACATAATTGACATTTAAAAATATCCATCTCATCACCACTTTCCTTTGCAAGAAGGAATATGCTTTTCTGTGTGGAAGCTGTAAGGAATCAAGTTGAGCACATTCACTTAAATAACAGGCTATTACACTGCAGATGGGTGAAAGCGCTCGGGAGAACACTGGCCCAGTCTACTGAAACAAATGTCAAGAAACATAAAAATTCCATCAGTTTTTTTTCTGGACTCAGAAGAAGAGAAAAATATCTTATACTTTAAAGGTATAAACTGAACTATCCCTGTGGCTCCATCAGACTGCAACAATACCCCAAGTTCATCAAGGAAAACTTGGAGGAGCCAATATCACAGTGGACCATTCTACAGGGGAAAAGGATGGGTTGGCTGCCTGACCCTAAGTGATCAAGATTTCAATTGAGTGTGTTAGGTTACTTCCTCATAAGTAAGGTTGCCCTTCACAAGCTGTCCCTATTGCCAGTTATGAACAAAACCACGTGCCCTTATAGAGTCTCCCCAAGTGCTCTAGCTTTTTGAGAGCTGAGAGAGGCCAGGGCATCACCTGAAGTTAAGGGAAAAGTCCATGCACAACTCTTAACATGGATCACATGAGGCAGAAAAGGCCTGTTGAGAGCACAGAAAATCCACAAAATACCTAGAAACTGACTACTGAGAAGCTACTCAGAAAACACTTAGCCAAGACCTATCAGAAATCACAAAACCACCCTGAAGCTTTGCCCTCCATCTCCCAGGACAGATGCTAATCGTTTTACACCTGAATGGTTTATGAATATGCCACAACCAAAAAACATCAAGAACATATCCAGGGTATTTGTGACAAAACAGCCCCATACTGTTGCACAGGAATTCCTGTCTGTGTACATGTGCCACTCAGACACAAGGTAGGTGGGAGATCAGAAAATGAAATAAAGAGCTTACATGCTTTACAAAAACTACTACCTGAGATTCATGGGCTTCTGCTACCCAGATTGAGGCAAAATGCTCCTTCTGAACCTGCCTTGATATCCAGAAGCTAATCCTTGGCCTGGTTGCTCTTTCTCTTCATCCTCCAGAATGCACCCCTGCAAACCTCTCCTTTGCAAACACATGGATAGCCTCAGGTTCTGACCTACAGAGCCCACAGGGCAAGGGCAAGCCAAGTGCTGACCACCAAAGTGACTAAGGTCATCACACGACTTCAAACATGAAGCAATAGCAACCTGGGGCCACCTTCATCTGAAAGGCTGAAGAAGCCTCTTTCTGATCCATATTGGATTTCTTCTGCTTGGCTTCCTAGTATCTCATAATGGCTGCCTTCTCAAAGCACAATTCAGATTGAGTATCTCTTATCCAAAATGCTTGGGAGCCAGGGTTGATGGCAAACACCTTTAATGCCAGGTTTCAGGAGACAGATCTCTGTGAGATGGAGGCCATCCTGATCAAGTTCAGGTCAGCTGGGGCTACAGAGAGACCCTCTCTCAAAAAACAAAACCACAATGCTTGGGACCAGAAGTGCTGCTGATTTCAGAGTCTCTAGAACTGGGAAATGTTTGTATAGACTTTTGCCTTTTATGTTGGTGCTTTGTTGAGGGTCATGGATTTCTGGTAGTTTACAGTGCAAGAAACTGACCCTGTAATTTTGCATGTCAGTACTCCAAAAAGTAACATGAGTCAGGAGCATTTGGGATGTCCAACATTTCTGACTGGGATGTTCAATCTGTGGTAGTTGTCTGTGTTGAATCTGCTGCTGGTATCTACCCTCAGTAAATGAATCTCACAGGGAGAAGGTTTTAGAGGAACACTGGTATAAGAGAGAAAGGATAAAAAGAGTGGGAGCACGTTGCTGTTGTGGGTAGTGGGGAAAGATCTTAGTTCCAGGCAAAGGAAGCGGCCAGTGGTGGCCTCGAGGTTTGTCCACTCCTTCACTGTCAATCAAACACCAGTTTCAAACTCCCTTTGCCCAAATGAACACCAAACTATATACACGCATTCTCCCCAAAACAGCCATGGCAGTGGCCCAGACCCACCTGCAGCATAGCATCCCTAAGCTGAGGCAACCCCAGTTTCCACATGGCAACATCACTCTGAGCAAGACCATGTTGATCCATGGAAGACCACCCAGCTCCATGCAAGACCATCTCTGATTTCTTACCAAAATGAGTGCCTTGACAATGTTCCAAAAAGCCTCCTGGTGATCCAGTCTTTCTGGAAAAAAAACAGAAGGAACAGAAGAAATTACGTAGGTTTCAGAAATGACACTCAGACTTATATAAAGCTCCTCATTGTATAAAAATTTAAATGAATGAGAGGCTTTGAATCACTTGCAAAAATGAATGAATTATAATTCTAATGAGATGATCAGAAATTACCCTAAACAAATAATTAAAATGTTTCTTTAGTCATTTCATTGCATGATTATTCCCTTAAGAAAACCATGTTGGGCAAATAATGATGGCTTGTATACCATTCTAGAAGGAGAGACTACCTGCATATTAATTAAGCTCCTCAAAGACCTCATGAATATGTATTTCCCCACAACAAAGCTTGACCCCAGTGGTTACAGAGTCCCTATTCTCTGACACTTTCAGAGGAGTCTGGCATCCTTGTGAGAGCTGGAGGACAATGAAGCAAGATTAGAGGAAGAACAAGGAGGTCCTCTTTTCCCTCTGTCCAGGCTCTCAGCCCTCCTTCCTGGCCATAACAGGTTCATAAGAGAACCAGAAAGAGACCACCAGGCCTCCCAACTTCCCTTAAGCAGAGAACCAATGCTCAGAAAACTGAGGTGGAAGATCAAAAGACCCAAGGGTTCAAGGCCAGAGCTTGGGTTTAAATTAGGAATCCCTTAAGGAGGTAACAGATCAGACGGAGGGCAAGAGTGGAAAAGAGGAAGATGGTTTATCTGTCCAAGCACCACATCTAATTTCCCTTCTCCCTCTGCTGTAGCTGAAGCCAAATGAACTTATGAAGACTTTTCTCTGTCCCTTTTTATTTGTGTGTGTGTGGGGGGGTGCATGTGCATATGCAGGCTAAAAGTTCATATCTAGTATCTTCCTCAGTTTCTCTTCACCTTACTTTTCTTACTCTCAACCAGGAGCTCACGGACTGGCTAGACTGGTTGACCAGCAACCCCCAGGTACCCTCCTGTTTCTGTCCTCCTAGTGCTAGGTTATAGACACATAGTGCTGCACCTGGCTTTTTACATGAGTGCCTGCTGATCTGAACCCAGGTCCTCATGCTTGCACAAGAAGAACTTTACTGGCAACTACCTCCCCAATTCCTCTGTTCCTTTTAAATCACAGCAATGGCAACCTCCTCCTTGGGACCCTTCGAGTCAGGAATCTGAAGGCTGAGGCTTCCATAGGCAGCTGCACTGACTTGGAATTCACCTTCTATCTGTCCTGGGATCTAAGGTCACAGGGATGGCTTCATTCACTGGGGGAGAGGGAGACGAACAGATCTTGCTACTGGCACAAACAGACAATGGCTTCTTCTCAGTCACAAAGGCCCAATCTGGGGGACTGGAGAGATGGCTCAGAGGTTTAAGAACACTGACTGTTCTTGCAGTTCGAATCCCAGAACCCACATGGCAGCTAACAACTGTCCATAACTCCAGTTCCAGGGGATCCAACAGCCTCTTCTGTCCTCCACGGGCATTGCACAACATGGGTGCACTTACCTACATGCAAATAATACATGCATACACATAAAATAAAAATAATAAATAAAATATTTTTTAAAAAGGTCCAATCTGGACATGTGTTACCACTTTTCCAGCAAAGCCAGATGGCTACTCTTGGATCCCTGGGCAGGCATTCCTAGCAATGGTTCCCTCCTAGCATTAGGGAATTTCCTCTACTACAACCTAGCCGGTAAAGATGCCTCTGGTCCAGATACAAATGACTAGACATACATTAAAAGGCTGTCCACAGAACTGTAACCTGTGTGCCCCTTTCTGGGGTGCAAAGGACCTGATAGGCACATAGCTGTCCAGTTCCTTCCTGAAGGTCTGGAGCATATATAGCCTTTCAGTCTTCTGACCCTTGGAAAAGAGGGCTCTTTCTCACACACACGTGAACATCACATGTAAGGCCGTTTGTGCACTTACTTTGTAAAGTACAATCAGGGTGAGCCACCAGCTTCCTGTGTGACCAACAAAGCCCTGCTCAGCATCAGCATGAAATGTAGAAACTCAGAATGACTAGAGGGGCTGGGGAGGGGCTCAGTGGGTAAAATGCTTGCAGCCCAAGCATGAAGACCTGAGTCACATCCCCAGAACCCACATTAAAAAAGCCAGGTGTGGTGGTAATCCCAGCACTGGGGAAGTGAAGATAAACAGATCCCTGGGGTTCACTGGCCAGGCAGCCTAGCCAAATCAGTGAGATCTAGGAGGCAAGTGAGAGACCCAGTCTCAAAAATAAGGCAGATGACACGGAATGACACCCAAAGATGACCTCTGGCCTTCACATACACATGCACACATGGACCAGGACGTGTGTGTGTGTGTGTGTGTGTGTGTGTGCGCGCGCGCACATAGAATAGAATGCAAACATATTAATTAATATATGAAAAAATCAACCAAAGATAAGGAGCTACTTGAGAGGCAGCTGGGAAGGTGAGATGCAACAAATGCCCAGAATACCACCTGGGCCACACTGACATCAAATAGATCTCCCTTCACACAGTCAAAGCTTGCCACTGGGAAACTCCAGAATTAATCACTAGGTTAGGTTAGTGCATGAAACGAATGTTATATCTTAGTGGGGAAAACACTTCACTGCAAGTCAGAAGATGGCACCCCAGCTCCTCTCTTGGTTACAAGGTATTTTTGTGCCCCCCCTCAAGCCAGTCAGCCAGTGCAGTGGTTTGAATAGGTGTCTGTACCTAGTTCCCACTGTGAGGTATGGAGATGGAAATGTAATCTGACCACAGTGTTTAGTGGTGGGGCCTTTGGGAGGAGATCAGGACAGGACCCAGTCATCTTGGTGACACTCCTACAACTGCATACTGGTGGCTTTAGAAAAAGAGGGAGAGAGGGGATCCACTGGCCAGACCCTGACCGCCTCCCTGGGTCTGAGGCTTCAGTCCTAATAGGACTCGCCTTTACTGTAACTCCACTGTAGGCCCAGGAGAGCAGGTGCGGCAACTGCAATCAGGTTGAAATCAGCATGACTGTCATGTCCAGCACAGGAGGCCTCACACTGTAGGAGGATCTCCCAGAAGCTGTGCACAGGCAAACTGGGGATCACCATGGAGGTTATGAGTGGACTGGCCCTCTTTGGATCATCTTCCTCTTGGGCTATGTCACTGGCTATTAAGTGCAAAAATGAAAACAAATGCTGCCCAACTCCCATTCCCCCGAAAAAGGAGAAGAGGGAGAGAGTCCTGAACACACAAGTGTGCTTGTCTTTTCTCTGTCCACATGATGCCTTGCACCATCTCGAACCATTACCAAACACCAGCAACCCAAGCTCTGTGCAGTTTTATCCAGGAAGAGTGGCTACGAAGCTTGCCTCTTCAGACCCCCTGCAGGGTCCAGGATTTTCCTATCGGCACTATATCCCTTCACTTTCTGGCCCATCTGGGGATATCCCGGTCTACTGTGGGCCTGTGGAGGTCCTTGTCTGCAATGAATCCAGCTTTGCCTACCTGCTCTTGACCAAAGGTACCTTGGAGAATCCCAGAACCTAAGTACTCACTTCCCTTCCCTGGGAGGAATGCTTGGTTGCCTCCTTCTATAAGGGAGCCCCTGCCTCTCCCTCCCCAAGTCTATGAGTCCCCTGAAAAGGACAGAGGCTTATTCATCTGGAGCTGAGCATCCCCCACTGCGCCACAGGATGCCCAATGAGGGTACAGTATCATGCAGCCGCCTGGGAACAACGACAGCATGCTATACCTTATGTAAACACTTTTCCATTCAGGGAAGGAGGCCCAGATCTGAACTCAATTTAGAACCGGGTTTTAAGTGTCTATTTATAGGCACCACACAGCCATCTCTGGTGGATATGGAGAAGTCAGGGCTCCTGCCCACTGTGATGAGATTCATTTGCATTCTTTTCATGTTTATCTTCTCTAATTTCCCAGCAGCATTTTAACTCAAATGCAAGGTCACCCACCACTTGGATCCAGCACCACTTAATCAGTTTCTCCAACAAAAATACCAATTTTCTTCTCCAGGTAGTAGCACCCTGTCCCCACTCTCTCCAGGACCCTTTCCTTGTGCTGCCAAAGGGGAGATAGTTTTATCGGTATGACACAAATCTTTGGATAGACTGTCGCCTTAAAGATGTGTCACCAAGTCATAAGACCTGGGAAGGTCCTTGTGGACAAGACTGGGAGAGTCAGCTGCCATTTCTTTCCATAACTGAGTCATCATCCAACCAGGCACATTGCAGTTTCTGTCACAGGCTACAAACTGGAGTCACCAGGCCTTCTCACAGCTGGTATGTCCAGCCATTCCTACCACTGCAAGCACACTTCTCCACCCCCTTTCTTCTACCCCAGAAGTCAGTGAGGGCCAGGTTGCTTCCCCAGCCCCTCTTGGCCATTTGTGATTAGAATGCACCTGTTTTTCTTCCTGCTACCTACAAACATTTTCAGAACGCTCTCCTATACCTTTTGGATCTTCAGGTTGGAAATGAAGTCTGCAGGTCCACCCACAAGATTAGTACATTTTGCCCTCCAGGTGATATATCCATCCATTCCTAGACTTCAGTTTGCGTTTGGAGGTGAGAGGCAGCTAACCCTCAGCTCAGCTTTCCAGAAAGGACGTGCAAATTCAAGTCACTGGTTTCCTTCTTCCATGTCTTTGGTTGAATCCTTCAAGGTACAGGAGCTAAGGGCCCAGTCTTGGGAACCAGCACAGAAGCCAAGAAACCCTTGGCTACAGTCCTAAGTCCATGGCAGGACACAGGTATACAGAACACAACCAATGAACAGCTTTCAGCTGCCTGATGTCCAACTTGTGAGGTCCACCCAGATTCCTGTAGGAAGACCACTGCAGGGGCTGCTGGTATCAGGCTCTGGGACTTTCACACAGGACACCACTTCAACTGCCACCTGTACTTCTTTACACACAAATATCTGGCAATAAATTAGATCTATGGTCATACACAGCCTTTGAAATGCCATATTTCCAGGCATTCTGGAGGCAAACAGAGGGTTAGGTATTCCCTGGAGGAAATGACTCAGCATTTGCTGATTACTTT